GGCTGGCACAGTGCCAGCCTGCAAGGGGCTACTTGGGACCTCCAGGCCCCGCACCCACCTGTCCCACACACTGCGGGGCTGGATGTGGGGGCAGGAAGCAGTGGGTCGGAAGTGAGGGGCAATGCACTGGGACGGGCCATCCATGTTTACAAGTGGGTCCTGGTGCAAAAAACTTTGAGAGCCATTGCTTTAGAGGACGGACAGCCAGCCAGCTGGTGGTCTCCTCTCCAACCCGGGACCCGGTCAGGTCCCGGCACTGGGTGCTGCCTCTGTGAGCCAGAACGGACCCCAGGCAGGTCTCCTGCTCGCTGATCCCAAGCACAGCCCTGCCCTCTGGACCCCTCACACGCAGGACCTGACACTCCCGACACCCTGCACCTCTCCAGACACTCCACACCCCAACCCCTGTGCTCTGAACCCTGCTTTCCCCTGGAGCACCAGTGCCCCACTACCTTCCTGGCCCCAGATCCCCTGTGCCCTGGACCCACCGGCTGTGCCCCAGGCCTTGTCACACCCGCCACTGCACAGACACTGAGGACGAGACCAGAGCGCTCCTGCTATGAACAGACAAGGTGTGGGAGGGGAACTGAGGCCCAGGGAAGGGGAGGAACTTGCCCAGGCTCAGTGGCAGAGCCAGGAGTTGAACCCCGGGGGCAGAAAACTCTGTGCTTGTCTTGGTACTTGTGTGTGCAGGGTTTTTGGTTGTGCTATTTTGCTGGGGGGACGGGACACAGGTCCCAGAGCGACACTTGCAAGATTCCTCCCGCACTGAGACTTCACCGAGGCGCGTGTTGTAGCTGAAAGGTCATTTGGGCCCAACGAGAGTTTTGCTTAGGTGAACTGCAGCCTGGCTGACCTGTGCATCTTACCTGCTCTTGCTTTGCCAGCTCGAAGTCAGAGACAGTGGGGTCAGTATTTAGTACCAATAACTTACCGAATGAATTAAGCTGAGCTCAGAGGAACAAGTTGGTGGATATCTTTATTGCTTACTCCAGGGGTTTTCAACCGGGGGTACACGTACCCCTGGGGTACTTGGGATGGCCTCTGGGTTGTTTTTCTTCCCCTCCTCTTCTCTTCTTCCTCTCAGGCTCCAGCGGTGTCACTTAAGGTTACTGTATTACCACAGTTCGAACCCGGGTGAGGGCAGGGGACAAGTATGGTTAAGTACTTCTGAAAATCAGGCCTCCAGAGTTGCTCGTCCGGGCTCCAGTTCCTCTCTCAGTCTCAGTTGCGGTGGTTTCCTGCTATCGGTTGAAACGGGCAGGTCCAAGCTAAAAGTGACGATGTCAACAATGGCTCCTCCTTGCTCATCTGATCAGCTCATTGTTCCTCCGAGCCTGGCAGATCTCACCGAGCGGAGAGAGACCCGGCTGAGCAGGTTTCAGTCGCTGTGCAAGTGTGCTGGAAGCTTTGGGGACTCTCTCGGTGTCCCCAAGGGCATGATCTGAATGTGGAGAGACCAGAGCAGGTGACAACAAGAGTGTGATTTGCCATGTAGAGTCCTTGGCAGATGGTGATGTGAGAAGGAAGAAGCTCATTTTTTCTCCTTAAGTCCAGCTTGAGTTTGCAAGTTCGACAGTGAGAGGAAAGCTTGTTTGAATGAAGTATGTGTGATTCAGAAGGCATTGGGACAGTTATTGGGTGTCCCCATGGTTGGGAAAGGTGCATTTTAAATTCTTATCATGAAATGTTCTGGGATTAAAACAAATGCAAGAAGATCTTCCATGTGCAGGTTGCTTGCCTCACGCACTGTGTCTGAGATTTGGAAACGCATGCATGCATCTCCTTCTCCTTCCTCACCCCCTCCCTCCTGTGTGCACACAGTAGGTTGCAATATTTCCTTTATACGCTTACCTGGCAGGGGAACTAGAATGACACCCAGGTGGTTTTCCTAGTGGCTGGGGACAACCACGAACATGGCAGGGGGCTAGTACCCCGACCGAGGTAATGCATCTTTAACCCCCAACTTTCTCTTCCAGTGGGAAGGTCTCGGCTATATGCCAACTTGTGGAAATGGGACAATCCTCCCTAGCTTGCTTCTGTGGCCACACGGCCAAAAGCAAGGAAAATGTGGGGGCATCCAAACCCTAACCCTTGGGCTTGGGCCTGCACGTAGGATGCCCGCCAAAGGATCTGGAAGCATCTGAAGCCCCAGGCGGGGGTGGAGGATGCCTGCCGGGAGCAGGGCCACATGTGGGTCCTGGATGGCTTTATGACTATGGATTTGGAATTGATTTGGCTCATTTGACTTGGGGGACAGAACGTTTTCCTTTAAAAATAAAACCAAAAAGCCTACCACCAATGTGTCCTGGGATCCTCTAAAGCAGTGGTTCTCAGCGTTCATTGTACCAGGGCCCATTTGTAAACATCGATGGCCGGTGCCCACCCAGCGCCCCTCACTCCCGCCCCGCTGCCCCCCGCCCCAGTGTGTGGGGCATGGGGTCAGCAGCCCCTCGCAGGCTGCAATGCTGCAGCCTCCCACACGTTTCTCCTTTTAAAGGAGAATCCATTTTTAAGGTTTTTTAAGCTTTCATATATTCTTGTGACCCAGGGGTTGAAAACACTGTACTAGACCTCCTGAGGCCCCTTCCAGCCCCAATTTTCTGGTTCTAAGACGACAGCATCCAAAGACTTCTGGCATCTGAAGGCCCGTGACCTCTCCACTCGGGCACAGGAACCGGCACAGAAATGGATTCTCGGCTGACAACCACCCGCCCTCTGCAAGGCTCCCGGCACCCAGCAGGAAGTGGCTGCTGTGCACCAAGCTACTACCAAGACCACCGGGCGGTTTCAGAAACCATGGTCAGTTCTGTCTTTGATAGCACCACGGGAGGGGTGCACCGCTCCTGGTAGCACTGCAGTACCAGGCGATGCATGGGGGGGCTGGAGCAAGCTCCGGTTCCACCTCCCAGGACCAAAAATCTGCTCAGCGCACAGCCTCCTATGGAGGACGTCTCAGATATTACAGCTGATAACAACAGGCACTTTTTTGGGTGAAAATATATGTCTAGATATAAGGTTATATATATCTACACAGTTTCATAGTTTCTAGGGTTAGAAGTGACCTGAACAGATCATCGAGTCCGACCCCCTTCCCTGGGCAGGACCAAGTGCTGGGATCATAATACCCGAGCCAGATATCTATCCAACCTCCTCTTGAAGACCCGCAAGGTAGGGGAGAGCACCACCACCCTTGGGAGCCCTTTCCAGAGCCTGGCAGCCTTGACCCTAAAGTAATGCCTCCTGATATCAAGCCTGAACCTGCTCTCAATCAATTTGTGGCTGTTATTCCTTGTTATCCCAGGTGGTGCCCAGGGGAACAGAGCCTCACCTATTTTCCACTGGTCCCCCTGGTGAGTTTATAGATGACTACCAGATCCCCTCTCAGTCTTCTCTTGTGGAGGCTGAATAGATTCAGTCTATCGTTGTAGGGCCGGCCCTCCTGCCCCCTGACCATGCGCGTGGCCAACCTCTGGGCCCGCTCACTGCTGGCCACATCGCTCCTGAAGTGCGGTGCCCAGCACTGGACGCAGTACTCCAACTGTGGCCTGACCAATGCTGCATCGAGGGGGAGGATCACCTCCTTGGACGTGCTTGCTATGCAACTGTAGATTCAGGACAAGGTGCGATTTTCTTTATTCACCACTTTCTCAAATTCCTTCTTCCTAGATGCAGCCCCTTGCACTTGTCTGCATCGACTTCCACCCCTACTCTCATCCGCCCACTGCCGTAACCTGTCCGGATCCAGCTGGACTCTGTCCCACCCCTTCAGTGTGCCCACCTCGCCCCACAAAGGTCACTAATGACAAGGACAGGATTTGAACCCGTGTGTACAGAACTCAATGGATTAGCAGTCCATCACCTTAACCACTCGGCCACCTTATCACACGTTTTGTATCTCGCACCATAAAAGAAAATCCTTTCCCATTACAAAAAACCACACCCGCGCACCTGTACAAAGGCCTGCTGGCCACCCGAATCCCTTATAATATCCACAATACGTGCAAAACACACGAACCAACTCAGTCCATCCTGGCCCCTCAGACCAGGCCACATTTCCGTTCCACCCCTGCCCGGCTTGCAGGGTCACATACTCAGTTCAAGTGCCCTCTCCATCGTTGTCACTCCAGCTCCCGCTCATCCCAATAAAGCTGGTGAAACTGTGTCCTTGACTTAGCAGAATGAATTGCTTTGAATACCTGGGAAGTTTCTGCCTTTGTAAATGACGTGTCTTCTAGTGATTTCCAAATGTCTTTCGGTTTTACTAGACAAACAAATGCAGTATTCTGCTGAAACGGGCTGAGCCTCTGGGGCTGCATTTACAGAGATATGGCAGTACAAAGTAGCGCCAGCTAAGTTTTGTGATGGCGCCTGAATAGGTTAAGTGCATCATTCTGCTTGGCATCAAGGCAGTTAGGTGCCTCACCTGTGCAGATGCACTTGCATGTGGTCCATGCTTCTCAGACCTTTTGCAAAACTAGCCCTGCAGGTAGCAGTGTTGGTGGAAGGTCTTGGGCCATTCCTGTAGTATTGAAGTGGTTGAGTCAGATGCTGGGATCATGAAAAGGGTTGGCCCTCACCAAACCTCTGTTCATCAAAATATTGGGGGTTGGGTAGGAAGAGCAGGTTCAGTCAGTGCTTTAATGTTATTCATGTATGTGGCCCCTCTTATTCCCTTATTGCTTCTTTGAGACCAGGCTTTGGACTTAGCAGCCAATGGATCCCCCCTGCAGCGATTCATGGTGCAATTGTTTGTCTCTTTTCTTTCTTCCTCAGGCGGGCTGGACAGGTGTTCTCAAATTCAGCCTGAGCTGATCTTCTCAGTTGAAGCTGTGGTTTGCAATGGCAAAGCGCATAACCGCATGGGGAAACTACAGAGCGTGCTCAAAGGTATTTCACTACATCGCACATGAATTCTCGCAGAGCTTGTTAGAAACCTCAAGGGTAAAACAAGAGGAAATGTAGTCCGGATTCGGCAACATTACTGAACCCTGAAGATCACAGTCCACTTGAGACCTAAGTACCCGTGCAGAGGGATCCTGCAGGGTTTGGGGGCGCAGGCTTGGAGACCAGCATAGAGCTGGCCTCTGGGTCCCTCCGCATCTTCCTGGACTCAGGAAGCGAAGGACGGACCCTTCTCCTTCACTGCGTGTCCTCTCCATGCAGCAAAGGAGAAGGGAACTCGCTGTGGGAGGAACATGTTACATGTGTTTCTACTGGCCAGGGGGGGGACTAGAGATGTTCACTTGGCCAAAATCCACTCTTGCTTAAACTCAGGAAGCCTGAGGCTGTCTGGGGTTGTGTGGGCTCACCTGACAGCAAAGCATGGCCCATTGGAGAGATGATGATCAAGCACCTGGTTACATTAAGCTGGCACAGTTTGGCACTGGTCCATGGACAAGCCGATAGATGGGAGAAGAGAAAAGACTGAGCTGTCTCCATTACCCAGACATGACATTACACAGGCCCGCCAAGCAGAAAAGGGCTTTTGTTTATAAATCTTAAATGAAACGAAAAGCAATTTTCATACTTTGCTTCTCCCTCCTCTTCCCTCCCAGGACTTCCCGGTTTATCAAAAGTGGTGGCGATTGCGTACGTCTCCTCAAGGGAAACGATTGATATTTCTAAAACTCCCACCAGGTAATTGCATGAAGTCAGCGTCTTTGAGCAGCTGTTCCCCTGTTTCAAATAGGGACGGGCTGGAGCCAGAAGCCTGGCAAGACTTTTCCAACGTCTGTCGCCTTGACTTCTGCCCCACGTCGTCTCGGCTCTGGACACTTGTGCTGCAGGTTTATTCCCGTGTTAGGGTCCCTGTCGGGGTCCTGACACCTGCTTGGACAGTGCCTAGCATAAGCAGGGTTGTCCCCTCTCCCATGAGTGCTGGCATGAAGGATGTGTGTCCATACTTCACAATAACCATGAGGTGTTGTCCCCTTAAATGTGTGGGATAATCTTGTTAGGTTGCTGTCAACATACAAAGCATATTTTATGGCTCAGTTTTTTTTATCTGGTAGATTTTCAGGTGACTAAACCTGAACGAAGTTCAGAACTTGAATCTTTCATTTAGTTTTCTGTATGTAGGTCATAGCTTAGGTTTTGCTCATCCATTTCTCATGCAAATCATTTGTAAGGGTTCAGCTCCTGTTCCCGTCAACACACCTGGAAGTCGGATGAAATCGGGAGACTCGCTCTGAAGTGTGAGAGGAAGCAGAACTGGCGCCCTGGCCTCTACTGGAGCTGTAAATGCGGGTGGTTGGCAGGAACTGGTTAAATTTTGATTGAAAGGAAACCCCAGCTCTGTTTAGTCAGGTGTACCTTTTTGTTCCCTCCTGTGCCAACACAGTGTTTGGACCATTTCATTTTCAACATGGTTTGGGGAGCTATATTGCTTTAGTTTAAAGAAATTAAAACCCAATTGTCTTTTCAACAGAGCTGAACCCGTAGTAGAGCACCAAGGGAGTGAGCGTGTGTCGAGTCC